TATGTATGTATGTATATATATATATATATATATATATATGTATGTATGTATATATATATATATATGTATGTAGATTCTATTCTGGACTTGAAACGGAGCCAGGGAGTTTTCTGTCGCTCCTTCCACATCAAAATTAAAGGTTACTGAAAAATACAACTTTTACTTTACTTAGTCTTCACTAAATTATCTTTTTTAAGCACGGTAAGAAAAGATTGTTAGTCTAATAATCTAATCTAAAAAATTATAAATTAAATATTTTGGTGGACCAGAAAGATGTGAACAAGGACCAGATTTGGCCCACGGGTCTTAAGTTGGACTCGTGCATTAGAGGCTGGTTAAATGTAGGTTTTTCTCCTATTTAGTCTATTTTCTTTACAAGTTCAGTTTTGCTCTGTCGTAGACACCAGATTCTGCCACACGCTCCACATGATGGACGACCGCGGGGACAGCGTCTCTGTAACCAAACGCTGCGCCACGCCCGAGAGCTGCCGCTTCGCCGGCTGCGTTAACGTCACCCACAATGGCTTCCAGGTACACCCAGGGATTCTGCTTCTCGCTCCGTTCTCGTCCGGGTTCTCCTCACGTTTGAATCCCGTCCCGCAGGTTTGCACGTCCTGCTGCGAGGGGAACATCTGCAACGTTCTGGTGCCGAGGAACGACAGCGGCGCCGTCTTCTCCAGCTCTCGTCTGGCGAGCTCGGGCAGGAGGCTCCACCCTGCTGCGCTGCCCTGCTTCCTCGCCGCCTGGACAGCAGGACGCGTTTGAAGACGATGCGGGTTCTTAAAAACATTTTTAATCGCTGTAAGTAGCAGGGCCTTGTAGCATCAAACCTGTTCCCTTTAAACTGTACTTTCCTCCTCCTTTTACATTTGATTTTATGCTAATTTATTATTAACCATTTTAATCAATGTAACAATGTAATTGTATTTTTTACACAAAATAAAGTATAACATTGTGATCTTTTGTGCTTTAACTTGTGGGCTGCACACGAGCAGGGTGACCTCAGGGTCCGCTAGTCGGCGTCTTCATTCAGGTCAGAAAACCGGCGTCGAACTAAAAACGCTGCGGAGCTTCAGGCTGCAGAGGAAGGTGCTCGCTTTTCTGCAAGGACCGCCAGGAGGAGCAATAAGCGGTTACGTCACACAAAAAGGGAAAGGCGGCATCATTACTAAAGAAATGTCCATCAGATCACCTCAGGCGGATGAAAGCAGTGTGAACTCGGAGCACATGTTGGGGATGATGCTGAGCTACGACCACATCGAACAGCTGAATATGTAATATATGATGTAAGATTAACTCAGCTGCTCGGGGTTTCTCAGGGGGCTGCTAAACAAACGCACATTTGATGTTCGTGTCACGTAAAAGGTTACAGATTAAACGCATCAAGGATTTTATTTCAACATCGGCAGCTCTTTGGTTGGGGTGGTACCGCAGGGGTCTATTCTCGGTCCTCTTTTCTTTATACCTGCTGCCACTAGGTGTCATTTTCGTAAATTATCATTTCTACGCCGATGACAGTCAAATTGACTTCCCTCTGAATCACACTAGTGCTCTTTCTATCCATCATCTTCTTGACTGCCTGGCTGACATCAGGGACAGGATGGCTTTACATTTCTTAAACTTTAAGACACAAGTCACGTTGTTTCCACCTAACAGCACAATCACACTGTATGGACCTTTCCTGTCTAGCCCCGTTAGAGAAATAAGTTGTCACTAATCTGGGAGTGAAAATAGACCCTTCCATGAAACTAAACAGTCGTGCACGGATTAATTTACTCCAGTTCTGGCCTCCCTTCACTGGCTCCCGGTTCACTTTCAAATTAATTTGAAAATCCTTCTGTACATTTTTAAATCTCTGAACAGTTCTACCCCCTCCTATCACTGATCTGCTGCAGCCATATGTCCCACATCTCTCTGAGGTCAGCAGACCAGATGCTTTTATTGGTTCCAGGCACTTGTTTAAAGCTCAGAGGTGACGGGACCTTCTCTGTTGCAGGTCCGAAACTGTGGAATGAGTTACCACTGCATGTCAGGCAGGCTCCCTCTTACTGTTTTCAAGTCTAGTTTAAAGACTCTAACTTTTATTCTCTGGCTTTTGACACTAAATTGATTTTAACTTGTCTGTATTCTATAAAGTTAGTCATTTAGTTCTTATCTTTATGTATTTTATATCTATATATGTACTGTCCTGTGTGTTTTGCTTGTTTTTACTGGTCGACCTTATTGCAGGTTAGCCTGCAGCAACACACAGTGGACACCAGGGGGCGACAAATCCAACAGTCTGCGGGGTTCACAGTCCGAGTGCAGATAGTTCAGGAATGACACGAATCACTGCTTGCACCTTTAAAAAGAAAGCTTTAAAATCATTGAGTTAGGTTAAAACTTTAGAGCTGCAAACGATGCACATTTCTGTGAATGAGCACAAAACTTCAGGGTCGCTGCAGCTTCACAGATTTTATTTGCACTGTGGCTTGTAATCAGAAACAGGTTTTCAACAGAATCATGGGGAGAATAAATACCTGACCTGACAAGAGTCCAGACGCAGCTGAAATTTTATAAATAAGCTTTCATTCTAAAAATATTCATTTCTACAGATTCACCGGGTCGTGAATGTGTGTTGTCGGTGGTTCTTCCTGGATGTAGTGCAGGGCAAAGAAAAAAACGGACAACGATCGGATTTGAGTCGCAGGTGCTTCGTAACGCCGTCGTGTGCTCGCGTTACGATAAAACCTTTAAAAGTGGACCCAAGCACGATCGACACCTCCTAACCAGAATTAGAGGCACTCTGTTCGGACTCTAATAATTAAAAAATCTAATCCTCGTCTTCGAACGCACGTGACAGTCCTTGTAGTCTCGTGACGGCGGCGCTGTTCGCCGGCGCGTTGGTGAAAACGGTCCCCACGAACTGCGGCGTCCCCCTCAGGATATGGCGGATGACGGTGCAGGAGCCCGACACTTCGATGTGAAAGCCCGGGTCCGTCAGCTGCTCATCGGGCCGCGGCGTGGCCAGACTCGACGGGGACGCGAAGAACTGCGGAGGACAAATTGGTGTTGACGTGGATCCTGAGATGCTAAAGAAAAACCGTCGGGAAGACGAGAACTCACGGCTGCTCCCGTTGTCGGGTCGATGAAGTCTGCCCAGTAGCCCGCCGTCCACAGAGCGAAACACATCTCCTTGGCGCCGTTCACGAACTGCAACGACACAACACCCGTTGAAAACCCGCTTCACGGGGCAACGAGTTTACCGAAATGAGCCGAGGACGCACTTTATGAAGCTGCAGGGTTTTGTCCTCGTCTTCCTGCCGACCGGTCCTCTGTGCGACCGTCACCACGGTGATGGAGGCGGTGGGCGCCGACGGGAACATCTGCTCCAGTTCTGGACGTTCAGAAGCTACAGTCAAGCACGGAGCGATCGGTTTGAGTTCGTGCGGTGGCGCCACCCTCTTACCTTTCTTTAGCAGCTCGGGGCAGGAACTGATGGAGCAGTCGGTGTCTGTGGGGTTAAAGTACTGCTCCGCTTTGTGGACTCGGGTGGATAAAGGACCCAGTTTCCCCTGAAAAACAAAATGTGTTCTCAAAACAGTGCTAAAACTTCTCAAATGACAGTTTTTCTCCCCTCACTGGCTCTGGAACGAGGCGCACGCATTCCTTCTCGCTCCCTGTCCTCCTGCTTTTTTTTTGTTCCGTTTGTATCGGAGCAGCTCCTTTTTTTTTTTACACGTCTTCCAAAATGAAAACTACCGTTTTGGATCTGACCAACTGGACGTTCGACGTAAATGACAAAATCTTTTCAACAAAGCGACAGGTCCTGAAGAACCCTCATCTGCTCGGACGACACGCATGCAGCTGGATATATCTCTGGGGGGGAAGTGTCGACCTCTGTCGAACGAGGACGCCAGAATTACATACAACTGGATTTATGATAACAGGGTTCCTGTTTCTGGAATAGTCTGGATTAGGAAAGTGCGATATGGCATAAAATTCATATCACGATATGTATTGTGAAGGGTGGCGATAACGATATATATATCGCAATATGTTTTTGGTATAAAACTTGCAATAGGAATTTAAAATAGCACAGGGTGTCATTTTGCCATCATTTATTTTGAATTAAGAAAATTTCACTACTAGATCCAGAGTTTTTAAATAATAAACAAATCAAGTATTAGGCTCCTTTCTTGTGCAAAAAATCTCAAATATGGCTAAAACTACATGTTTTAAACAAAATATGTTGTTAACTCTTAACAGTTTCCAGTCTTATTAACTTCATAAATGAACAGCAACTGAAAACACTTCACCTCCAAACCTCTAGAGGGCGCCCCCTCCCAGTTTAATGGAGCTGACACAAAATGAGTCTGTGGCTTTGACCAGAGGGTCTCGCAGAAAAATCACACAGAGTTCTTTTCACAGATCAGAGAGCAGGTTTCTCTTAAGCTGACCAACGCTGACTTTAACTTACGATGAAAAAAAAAACTTTAGACGGAACACAGCGTGTTGCGCATGCGTCAGAATACGACAACTCTACGGCAAGCCAGCTGTAGTTAGCTTGTAGCTTCGCTACTTAGCTCTCGAAGAAAAGACCAACACCACTTGTGGAAAGTTTAACTAAAAAAAAGTAACGATTAAATCTGACAACTCTGATTTTACATCAGACGCAGCATTACTGCGGAGAGCCGGTAGAAGTCAGATCTATATCGTAGGCTAAATTTCTATCATTTCTACCGTGTACCGTTTATATCACGCATTCCTAGTCTGGATCCTGGTTTATCAACATACAAGCAAGACGGTCACGGCTAATTTGGACCTGGACAAGCTGCTGCCTATGTGAAGGTTTGGTTTGTGCTTTGAGGACTCAAAATCAGCTGATTTAAGAGCTAAACCGTAGAATGGAAGTGATTTGAACCACAGGCCACCTGCGGCTTTGGGACTCGTCAGCATGAAAACAACCTTGAAGAAGCTCGTAAGCACGGACCAGTAGAATGCACCCTAATCTGGACATTTTGGATCTTGGAAGTATCAGTACAGACTCAAAGGCTGACAAGGAAAAAATAGTCTGCCTGAATAAATCAACAATTGTGGTTTTATCTGAATCTGACTCCCTGGTTGGCCTCGAAACAGACCGACTTATCAATTTCTACAGGAAATGTGTAAACTAAGGAAAAGCTTTGTCTATCACAACCGCCCCACCACTTCTGTGGAGGATTATCAGAACTGTGCCAGCTGACTCAGAGAGCGTTGGTGCAGCCATCTATATAACAACATTAGATTAGCTGAAAGGTGCTGGCAGGTTCCCCTGACCCCCAGAGCTTCTGATATTTCAGCTTTTGTCACACCAGACCACTTCCTACAATACACAGTAATTTTCAGGGACTGATGCATTTTGTGTTCAGAGACATTGGGAACTGTAATGTCTACCTAGATGATACTGTAATCTATTCTCCATGCTGGACTGATCATATTAACACTCAGAAAGCTGCGTTTGCCTCCCTCACCTTGAACCTAGCAAAATGTGAGTTTGCCAAGGCGGTTGTGACATAACTCGGAAAGGAAGTGGACCGTGGCCAGGTACGTCCTGTGAATGCCAAGGTGGAGGCTATCCTGAGCTACCCTGTGCCCACCGCAACACGTGAGCTCCAGCGATTCTTGGGTTTGGTTGGCTACTAGGCGCTCCAGCAGAAAGTTCTCTATGGTGGTGGCTCCTCTAACTCATCTGTGTAGTCCAAACGAGCCATTCATGTGGACTAGTGAGTGCCAACATGCATTTGACTGTACAAAGTCTCTTCTTTGCAGCGCCCCTGTATTGGCAGCTCCAGACTTCACCAAGGCCTTCAAGCTGGAAGTAGGTGCAAGCGCCACTGGAGCTGTGTTGCTCCAGGATGGAGCAGATGGAATCACTCGTCTCAGCTACGTTCAAGCATCAACTAAACTACTCCACAATTGAAAAGGAAACTTCAGCCATGCTACTTGCTTTGCAGCATTTTGAAGTTTATGTAGGTTCTACACCAAGTCCTGTTAGTTTATACTGACCATAATCCTTTACTATTCCTGAAACGCATGTACAACCACAACCAGCGATTAATGCGGTGAGCTTCACTTGCCCAGGAACAGAGCGTGGACGTCATGCACAAGAAAGGAGCTGAGAATGTGACAGACGATGTTCTTTCCCAAATGTAATGTTGATCTAGCTGTTCTACTTATGGCACATCCATTTTACTGTGGAAAATTTGATGGGGGAGGGTGTTACGGTCACTGACCTCTAGGGGGTTCATCATGAGAGAGCTGCTGCTTCTTCTTGTGTTTCAGAGTTACCTGCCTGCCTCAGGTGAGATGTGTTGCAGCTCGTCAACCGCTCCATAAAGAGCTTCATCTCTTCCCTTTTTGCTGGGCCTCGATCTGCAGTGATCTACTCTCTGTCGAGTACACTTTAGGCCATGTTGCTGTACTAGTACAGTGGGAGCAATATGGCTGTTGTACTAGTACTGTGTGAGCAACATGGCTGCTGTACTAGTACTGTGT